CAATGAGGCGGAGAAAAAAAAGCGAATGCATTGTTTTATCAGAAGGGAAGCAATGTGGCCATAACACAGCTGGTAAAAACACCACAACCTGACCTGATACTCGCTGCAAAGCTTCATTCTTAATCATTCAACCTGTGTGTTTCATCAAATAAGGACAAGATATAATCTTATTGTGAAATAAGTTTGACTAAAATGACAAATTATTGGTTTTGGCTAGACTAGTTTGACTGAAATGTTCTATATAATCTGATGACTAAAAAAGACTCAACAGTTTTCATTGACAAAAAGTAGACAAAAATAATAGTTTTCTTTGACTAAAATAAGACTAAAATGCTCAGACATTTAGTCGACTAAAACATGACTAAATATGACTAAAACTAAAAAGGAAATTTAACACAAGACTAAAACTAAATTAAAAAAAATAGCTGACAAAATTAACACTAGTCCCATGTACGCCGCCACATGTGTGTCAGAGATAAGGGCATGTTGCGTACGTGTTTGTGTTGGACTTCTTGACCCTGTTTGTGTGACAGGGAACACTTTGCTAAAACAAAAGCGAAGTACTTTTGTGATGACTTTTTTTTTTAAATTAGCAGATGAAACCATTTGTATGTATTTCTGGTGTGCTGTTAGCACAGATAAGTACTCAGAACTTTATCTGAAGGTCCTCACTTTGAAAGGATAGCTGGGGTCAGGGTGTATGACATTAGGCATTCGGTGGTTTAGGTTACAGAAACGGGTCTCTCTGTGTCGGGAAGTTTCTATGTGTCTCCTTCCTCAGTTATCAGATAGCTTTTGCTTTCTCCACCACTGTCTGTGTGTGTTGGGAGAGACTCCAGTGTGAGAAAACGTTTTTAGAGAGTACTTGTCCATGGACAAGTGACTTTGGCAATTTACTTGTCCGAATACATTTTTTACTTGTCCAGAATGTACAAAAATTGGGGCCACTGGAATCTTCTTCTTCGCCATCGTATTCTAGATTTTCCCACGATCTTTAGGACACCGCTAACGTAAGTGAGCGGTAAGATTTTACTGCATCACACATAGGGTTGGGTATCCTTTGGATTTTAACGATTCGGGTTCTGCTTTTCGATTCTGGTTATTTTCAGTTCTCGATTCGGGTTCTTTGAGAGGGTAAAAATAAGTCCCATGAAAAAACTCGGAGAAAAATATATTCATGAAAACATTAAGTCAAATCTGTATTCCTATTTACAAATCACATCATACTGTTTAATTTCTTACGGTTATTGAAAACAATTGTATAAAAATAATATCTGCATTGTTTAGTTAGTTCTAAGCAGTGCAGTTTGAGAATTTACAATTGGCCCAGTCTCCTCTGGTGTTACACTGCAACCTGCTTGTGAGACAGAGTCCAACAACACATGTCCAACACATAGGCCTTATAATAATAATTAGCCTATAGGCCTAGCGCTTTTCTACAACTCAAAGACACTTGCACGCTTACACATGTCCTGCAATACACATGCTGCAGCTGCCCAGCTGCTCACTGTTTCTAAAAGTAAATAAATAGTATTTTCATTTCAATAACGTACTTTCTATACCCTGCCTCATAATATCCATATCCATATCCATATCCATCCTCGGGGCTCGGCCTTGCCTCCTGTCCTCACAACTCTTATTAATCCCGGGACCGAGTTTTGCTTCACAACCCTGCCACTGTGCTTCCCGCCCCGCCCCCGTCTAAAAGCGGCGAGATGTATTTCCTTAGTTTCGGTTCTGCTTGTCGATTCCTAACATTTCTAAACGAACAATGGCGGACACGTACAATTTGCGAATTAGTTCTGCCTTTTGTAAACTGAATTTATCAATAATTTGTCAATAAATGAGGGCGAAAAATGTCACTTGTCCGCCGGACAAGTCAATTGAAAGATCTACTTTTCCGATATTGTAAATAACACGTCCCGGACGGTGGGACGTGTGCTTTTTCGTACACTGGAGACATACTTTATTTTTTGTATAAACAAATTGCACGACAATAGGATTCACACATTTTTTGTTACAGACACAACTTAGTATTTTGAACAATTGTGAAGCACAAAATCAGTTGCGTATTTTATGACATCACCACTTGGTTGAAGGCTTTTATCAATTACATTAAAATGCTGGGTCATGAATACATTACTAACTGTACTTGACACTTTGTGCATCATATTTATTTCTACAGAACTCATCTGTTGAGATGAACCTTCTGTGGAATAGTTTTGTTCTTTGGCTCTAGTGTTGCGGTAGCTGCTTTAAATGCCGTAATGTGTCAGACATCCTAACAATGTCATTCTGAAGAAGCTTGAACCTGACTCGTTCTCTAATGAAATCCAAAGGGGAGACTGAAACGCACACTCAAATAACAGCCTGAGCGAGTGACTTTGATAAAGTCCTGTCACAGAGCTGTTTACTTTCTGTGTCCTTCCCCATCACAAGGCTAACTCTAAACCTTCAATATACCTGTTTATATCTCAGGAAAAAGGGTAATGCCCTTGAGATTAATGCTTGTTATGGTAAAGAAATGCCGATACAACACTTTTTTTCCCCAAATATATTTTCTCAGACACTTACAGATACCATCTTTGTGCTCATGTGTGTCCAGCGTACTTTCCCCAGACAAATGCTAAGTTACGATGTGTTTGCTTGGTTGTCAGTGAATGTTGGGCTATCCAAAAAACCACATTGATGAAGGTGTTGCAATAAATTATGAAACCTGACATAACGGGATGGATTTTTTTTCTTCTTCAAATCATAACCGGTAGCTTGCCTTGATTATAGCCTAGTCGATAGATAAGATGGGGACAGATTGCAGCTGCAACATTTTTTTTTAAAGAATAACGCCATCAAGATTGCTCATCCGTCCTATTTTCCAAAGAATGCCTTTTTTCTTTCGTGTTCTTTCATTATTTTGGTCATTTAGATTTTCTATGTTCAAATTTTATTCTCTATACACACATCTATTTGCCCGTTTGTCCGTCCTGAGAAGGTTCCTCATCTGTTGCTTAGGCCTGTCGCGATAGTCGATAAATTGACTTATCGTACGATAAATAAAAATGGACTCGATAACTTTTCTGAGCTCGATAAATTGCCGTTTACACAAGGATGTGACCAGCATTTTAGCTAGGAGCGCTGTCACACAGCCAGGTCAGGACACTCCACGTGCACGTTAATAATATAGCAACAACGTGTGACTTACTCGCGGGGAAATTAAAGTGAAATGGAATTGGGTTTTGTAACAAAACCAAACTACACATCTTGATTCTCCGGTGTGGCAGTATTTTGGATTCAAACCAAATCAACGAGGCGAACCTACGGACTTGAATGAGCCGGGCGGTGTGTCGCATTGGTTTAAAAAAGGTAGCGACAAAAGAAGGCAATACCACGCATTTTAAACTACACCTAAAACACAACCACCCCATTCCGTTTTCCCAGCTGGGAGCAAACGCGGCAGCTGGAGATGGAGAGCCCCCGCCCGACAATGCAAACATGTTGGTGTTCCTTGCTCGAAAACTTAGAAAAACCGATTTGGATATGGCCTGTTGAGGCATCTGGGTCTTTGACAGTGGACTGTACACTTGACTGTTGTTTTAAGGAGGTTTTTTTTGCTTGTGAGATAATGTGTGATCATATTTATTTATTTATTTATTTATTTATTTATATATTTTAATATTATTTCACATTTCATTTGCAATGTTGAATGTTCAATAAAAAGTTATGTTTGAAAGGATGTACTTGAATTATTATTATATATTATCATTATGTCTAAAATGGTCTTAAAACGGCGCCGACAATATTATCGTTTATCGCAATAATTTCCAGAAAGATTTATCGTCCAACACAATTAATTATCGTGACAGGCCTACTGTTGCTACCGTTTTTCCTTGTCCTCACATAGTACAGAGGTACAACTGTAAAGCCCCCTGAGGCAAATGTGTAATTATTGATATTGAACAATATATCAGATTTGATTGATGATCCTGTCTTTTCCTCCTCCCTCCACAGGTCTGAGTGGAGCCATGGCGAGCATCAGCGTCCGCTCCGGTGCTCCAGGGTCTCCCACACATGTGAGCGGGAGCAGCAGTAACGGAGGCGGGGCCGGCGTAGGCGCTTCCTCCGGATCGGGGCCGGTGTGCCGCAGCCGGCGCAACGGGCTCCAGGACGTCGACCTGAACACTTTCATCTCGGAAGAGATGGCGCTGCATCTGGACTCTACTGCCTCCGCCGGAGGGGGAGGAGCCAGGAAAAGAAACTCCACCCAGTGCAGCGATGTCATCACAGACTCTCCTACGCACAAACGCAACAGGATGATCTGATGTGCTGCCTGCCTATGTGTGTGTGTGAGGGGGGGGAAGCCTTCAGAGCCAAGGCTAGGAGAGGGAGGGAGGGGGTTGGAGGGGTGAACATGGGACAGATGCACAGACGGATGGACAGATATTCAGCTGCCTGGCTGTGCAGAAGAACGTCTGAAAACGCAGACAGAAGGTCCCCGTTTGCGCTTTTCTGATGTTGAATGAACTCTATTCCTTGTCTCCTTTCCCTGCACTATTGCTACAAATCACTGCTATCAGAACACTTAATGAGTGTGTGTGACGAGGAGGTCCGGACGCCATCGCCCCGGAAAGGAGACAACGAAGGAAGACTCATCATGGGATACAGAAAGTTCTCAAACACGCACTGTGCTGCTTCGAAGAGTAAAAGCCACTTTGATCCTCGACACATTTGTGCCCTTCCCTCCCTGAACCCCACTCATCCTCACCCGCCACCTTAATAAGGAAGTGAGGGCCATGATCGTCTCACTCAGTGAACCGAGTTGCTCGCCAAACGTTGGAGACTCAACCCTCTGCGACCAACATGTGATCTTTCTGTTGCTCCACCGTCGTCGGTGGGGGAGCTGAATCGCAGTAGGACAGGTGTGGGGTCATCCAGCTTCAGTTACATTTCTCCAGGTCGATGGCACGTCACTTTACTCTCCGCTAACTCTGCTTCAACTATGGCTCCATTTAGTAAAGCCAGTCGCCATTTTCATTAGTTCGTCAAACCACCAGTGTTAAAATTCTAGGTTTGTTGCCACTGTTGTTGGCAGCATTGATAGCCAAGTTAATTATTTCTCCACATTTTTTCTGTTGATTAAAAAGAAAACACTTTTTATTTTTTATTTGTGAATACAGCTTGTCATAAAGCTCACCCCTTTACCCTAGTCTTATACAAAAAGCAACTGCTCTTTTATGTGATCTTGTGATTATTCTGATTTGCAATAAGGACTGCACTTAATTTTCACCTAACTCATGCAAACAAATGGGCTCTTCCATTATATCCCAGATGTAGCCTAGATTAGCACAACACTCACTGCTTAGAGGAAGTAAACACTCGGTATAGGGCTGCTCAATTAATCGCAATTACCATTTTGGCTTGCAACGATTATGAAAACATAATCAAGATAAAACAATTTTTTGTTAGTTAAAAATATATATATTTTAATTTGTCAGTTCATTTGCACTTAAAGTTCAGGGTAATCAACTGTTAACATATTGTTCCAACTCTTTTTCAATAAATTGATGTTTTCAAAGTAAATGGATAATCGTTTTTAATGATATCAATTATTGACCCAAATAATCGAGATTATGATTTTTGCCATAATCGAGCAGCCCTAACTCGGTATGACTAAAAACACATCGTTCCAACAACCCTTCAAACATTTCCGCACATGGGCTCTACTTGTATTAAGAGTCTTTCCCTGCCTGACAAATGATTTATCGGAAGGAAGTCGGTGCTGTTAAGAAAGCGTAAATCACAGAACCGTTTACAAAGGTAGCGTTTCTAAATAGACCCATGAAACACGCCAGTCAGAACACACATTATCTGGCTGGAGTTTGGGTGTTGGTCTGCTTTTTTGTACAAGGGCCGTGTGCATTAATACGACGTGGAGGCTTTTTTTTTTTTTTTTACAGGATGATGAATATCCTCGATGGTTTAATTCAAATTGTTGTTGCCTTCAATCATTTTGTAACGGTGAAGAGTCGGAGACGCTGATACCGCATGAGTCCGAAATTTGAGTATATTCACAGTTCAAGTAGAAAGAACTGCATTGAATTTTTTATGATTTATATTGAAAGATACTTGGAGTATATCATGTTTTTTTTTTTTTTATTGGTCTCCTTTAGCATATAATGCTAACAAAGTTGAAATCATTAAAAGTCTTGAGTTATCGAATAGAAATATCCCCAGTGATGCCCTGCCATATTAGCAATAGAGTAAATGTTGGCTTAAACTTGACCTGTAAACCCGCTGTAGCTGAACCAATGAGACGTCACTGTTTCCTTCTCCTCGTCCTCCTTTTCGTTCACTCCCCTTCTATTTGTACGACCTGGAAAAGTGGGTTTTCTTTAGTTGTATAAAGCATGCCAGTTTTTAACTTCTGTTACAGTTTGGTCACAGATTAAAATTTTCTTTTACGTTATAGGTTGGCTTTTATATTCATACATCATATCTGGCTTGTTGGTGGAAAAGAAAAGGCTGAGATGTGTTGCTTCTGTCAAAGACTTTATTCTGGCATACAAAGGAAACCACTGAGTTGGACTGATTTCAAATGGAGTTTTGAGTTGGTTACAGGAAAAGTCATTCATGGTGAGAATTCATGCTTTACGTCTTTCTAAACAGTATGTCCTTGTTAGCTTCAGCTAGCACAAGGCTCGTTAATAATGTGACAATAGGAAGGATCAATGTTTATTCAATAGGAACTTCGGCCCTTAAAGACAGCCAATGGCAGTGTACGGAGATTATGTAAATCCTATGAACCGACCTGTCAACACGCTCTTAATTAAATCAGAGGAATGCATTTTGAATATTTGAGTTGCTCTATCTTTCTCCGGGCACTGTTTTTGCGTCTAGCACGCCACATCGACTGAAACCAAATGGTGCGTGATGTTACAAATGAGTGGTTATCCTCCCCAGTGTTTCTGTTGCATGACAACAAAGGGAAGACGTGAAGTGGCTGCAGACAGTTCCCCCCCCCCCTCAAAAAGCTTGACTAAAGAGAGTTGGCAGGACGCTGCCATCTTTCTAATCCCCCTGTTGAACCTGCATTGATTAGCTGGGTTATAATGGGGGGGTAGGGGGGGTGCACTTAGTGTTTTTCTTTTCTTCTGCCGAGCCAATCACCGGCCTTCATCGACATTGTTCTCAAAAAGACTGAGTCATGCCACGTGTCTCTGGAGCCAACGCTATTATCAGCTGTTTCTTGATACTTATTTGTTTAAAAAGTAATAAATGGCTAATCTATATACTTAACATTTAATTGTTGGTATGATATATGTGGTTCACATTGTAAAATAAATAAAACCATTGAGTTGCAAATCGATTGTCTGTTTCATTAAAGAAAAGTAAATGTTACTTTTGTTTGTTTAATTTGCTTAATATTTAATTGCACTTATTGTAAGTTGCTTTGGATAAAAGCGTCAGCTAAATGTATTGTAATATAATGTTAATTAAGGGTTCGTACAGAAGTGTTTTATTTGTTCAATTGCCCCTCTTGAGCTTATGGAAAATAAAGGGCGAGTGGCATGTCATCAAAGTGTATTGTAAATGCATAAAGCAAACCTTTTTAGACCAAGTAAGGAAGCTTATTTTTACTCTTCATTTTAACACACTTAGCATGTATATTTTGAGAACTCAAAAACTTGCACCAGAGGTTCCCCCTATAGAGCGGATAGATCTGGTTGCATTTAGACCTGACATGCAAATGAGCAGCAGTAAGCACTTATAGAATAGTTTGCATTTCACAAGAGATGACGCACAAGCAAGAAATAGTGATCTGTTTGGTAGTTAGAGGAGCCTTATGTGTTAAAAAGAAATGAAATGACAGTCACTATAGTATTTCAAATGTATTTTTCGGGAGTGGTTGTTCCTTAGTTAGTTGTGCCTTCTTCTCTGGACTGAGTTATTGAAGGCTCACATAAATTACACGTATCTTGGCACAGCTTTAATCCACAAGAGGATGCCAAAGAACAGCATTGGGGGAAAAAGTCACTTTTCCACATGTCATGGCCATGGGTATGTGATGGGGACCCACAGGCCTGCAAAGTGTGCGTGACCCTGTTCTGATAGTTTGGCATTTAACTCTGTGTGGCCTCCCTATTTGTTTCCAGCCTTAAGGAAGGTTGTAACAGTAGCAACTATCTTTAACAGTGACACTTATTACTTAAATGCAAATGAATACTGCTGAGTCGAATTCTAATCCTAATCTTTTCTACTATTTTATAGTCTCCTTATGGAGTTTTCAAACTCTAGTAGATATATGATATCATGTTTAAACCACGGGGGTCCATGGAGTGTTTGTCTCCTGCGAAACGTACATACAAACAGGTGACTTTATAAACTGTCCAGCCAATGCTTAAAGAAATAAATAGTACTACTTGGTTTAACCACAGCCTGTATAAACTGTATCTGGGTTTTACAGTATACCTCTCGCCCAACAGGTGGCAGTAACGCGCCACAACCCACAGCAGTGTGCAAACAAATCCCGTAAGAAGAAGAGGAAGAATAAGCTAGTAATAAAACATGGATGCTAACAACTTTGCAAACATTTTAAGGGAAGGAAATATATCCCACACGTTTGTTTTACCTCATATAATCATACAGCTTTTGTGAGGGAAAAAACACGAACGTAATGTCGTAAATGTTGTTTAAAACACAAACGCTGCTTTAAAGATGAATTAGCTTAAAGTTGCAATGAGCATTTTTCATATAAATAAAACATGTTAACATGTTTTCTTTCCTAATCCCCGTATCCTTGAGGTTTTAAAAAACGTGTTGAATGCATTTCTTTCAACATGAAACATAAAGCCCATTATTGAAGTTTAAATATGTAATAATTACTTGTTTAGTCGATTCTTCCTATCCTTCGTTGGCATGCTGTTATGCTTGGTTGCGAATTACAACCAAATTGACGATGTAACCAAATTGTGTCCAAGCGCGTGCACACTACAAATAAAACATTGCACCACCAAGTACCTTACAAAGATGTCATAACATCTAATAGAATACAAGATATAAAGCCCTGTGGCCTATATTAGGAATCACAGATTAAAACATTTGCTGGAGGGAAACAAGTGGTTAATAGTTTTTAAAGCAGGCAGAGCTGAGTCCATGTGAGGCAGATTTTCAAGCATTTGTATTTATTTGATTGCTGCACTATTTTAGATGTTGGCTACTGTATAGTGACAGAGTTCAACAAAGGCAAAGAACAGGGGGCTGTCCTGCACAAATCAACAAATTAAAATGAACACACTGCAGTTTATCATTTGAAAAGTAAAGACATAAAAGACACATTATTAAATAAAAACAAAACATAGGCCAGTGAAGGAGAATGCAAAGAAGTTCTTCAAATTAGAAATAAAATGAGTAAAACAACGAATAGCCTTCGAAAAGCGCTGATACCAGTGTGTATTTAAATGTGGCTTGTTTAAATGCCAACATCCTTAAACATCACTGTTGTTGCTAGTGTTTTGGTCCATGGGTGTCATACAGGCACCTCCTTCCTTTCATAGCTCCTCCACCTCCTCATCTTCACCCACAGCTGCTGTCATAGATGGAAGAATGTGATTATCTGCAGCTACGCAGAGATCCTTGAGTTTCTCCACATCACATTAAGCAGAAAACATGAACATTATTCATCCGGAAAAATTACTAGTGCCTGTAGGGTCTTTATTTGTGCCCTTTGAAAGCATCTTATACTGCTTTGCTGTGGGTAGTTAAATGACAACACCTTATACAATTTCTGTATTTGTAAAGACTTTTCAATGTTGGAGCTGCATACTACCTCTTGCAGCTATATCAGATGTGCTTTTCTCATTCTCAAACATATGGGTTTTTATACAGGACCAAGTGTTTGTGAATAGCAGATAAACGTAGGGTCTTTTGGGAGGTGGAGGAATAGAAGGTGAGCTCTCAGAGTCCATTTGTGATGAGAGACCCCCACCCTGACCTGACACTGGCATCTGGAAAGGGTCTGGATCCTGCTGACGGTTTTTGGGGCAGGACTCAGATCTGACTGAGAGGCAGGAACTTCTGGTAGTAGCTCTTGGTTACATCGATCATCAGGTCCTGTGTGCACTCTGGGAGCTCTCCTGAAAACAGACCTGAGAGAGAAAGATGGACACAGGTAAAGATATGGTGGATAAACACAAGGTGAAAGGATCTGAGGCCTGTACTACGAATCCAGTTCAACATACCCTGGATATGTTTGAGTTAGCTGGCTTACAGTTCCTAATCCAAAACAAACGCGCTCTCGCTAAACTGTCCAACGACGCTGGTTATCAACTCGGTAACTCAAGCCAGGGTTTCTCTGTTTCCGGCTGAGTGCGCGTTCACATGAAAGGGGCGGGGCTAGCAACATTTGACAAATCACAAACATGGAGAAGCATACTGACAGCGCAGCGTCATACTTCCTGAATGAAAAGTGAACTATAATATATAGAAATATGAAGAAGTTAAACTTTAAACATCCATGACTTAAACACTTTATCCAGGATAAAAGCCACCTGCAAGGTGAATACAGCTGGTAACAGAAAAAGTGTTTGAATGCATAGCCTACATCAACAGGTTTATGATATCACTGCCCAGTCTAAGACACTAGTGGATCTGACTTTAATTACATTTGACTCAAGTGTTTCGTCAACTTAATGTGTTGCTTAAAATAATACTTCTGCATACAGTATGTGACACTGTGAGTGTTGCACGGCCAGATACGGCTCAGCTGACTCAGATAAGGAAATATATGATACATTATGATGTGATATGCAGCGGAATGTACTTAATGTTACTTTGATCTGGTTACTTATGTTGTGGCAGATATTTAAGTAAGCTTTCTTAACTGTTACGTTCCCTTCTGAGCTAGGGGAATCAGAGGGAAATAACACGACCAGAGTGGAATTGGTATAATTGGTTTATTTTAAATAGCAGCGGTAAACAAAATGGCAGGCAAGCAGCCTGGAACAAACATAATGCCACAACACCGGTTTAACTAACAAACAAAGAGGCCACAAGGGCGCAAGTTTAAATAGGCAACCAAATTAAGAGAGGACTCTAAAAAGGGAGCCTGTGTACATACAAAGAAAATAGGTAATAATAATAACAACGAAAACCCTCACTATCAAAGTGGTACTAATCATAACTAAGGAACGCTGTAAGGAAACAAAGCTGAGTAACTGATTACACAAAACCTAGGCCGCACCACGCACGGTCGTAACCCCCTCGTAGAATGCAGGGTGCCATATTTATCACAACAA